GCTTCGTCATGCTGACAGAACTCAAAGAACTTCTTTGGCGTGGCTTCGAGAACAATTCACGAAAGGTTTCTTCAATCTCGTCAATGTCAACACTGTGTATCAGGTTGCGGACATCTTGACCAAGCCGTTTACGAGCAAAGCAAAATGGGATCACGCGTGCAATCTTATTGGAGTACGGTGGGTGCAGTTGGATGGAAACATTACAATCAAACCAGCCCCCACTAGCGAAGCGCAAGCTTCCGCCGTTTCCACGCATGAAACCTATGATCGGTTCTTGTGCGAATTTTGCTGTTCTGATGATTCCAAGCTCGGCGACAAATCAAGATTACCAGCATTTGGTTGCAAGGTGCTTAGAGTAACTGAGCGTCAGAATGCGTTGGTTGCTGATACATTGCAATGGGTATTTGACGAGGTGCAACTTTTCAGGAAGAATGTCAAGTCCAAAACACCGCCCTGCGTGATGCTTCATGCTTCACTTCCGTGTACGGGCGGGTGCCCCTGGAACAATATCAATGGTCAGACTCAAGAAGGTCAAGCCAAGATCCAGGAGCACAAGGCGTTGTTTCGTAAACTGCTGAAGCGTTTGGACAAACTTATCACTATGCTTCGACAGCTTGACATTGTGCTTGTGATCAACATGGAACTTCCTAAGCTTTGCAGTTATTGGAAGAACTATTTCGTGCATGATTTCCTCATGAAATATGAGATGGTCAAGTACAATTGCGATGGTTGCATGTTTGGTGTCCTGGACAAGGATGGAAATTTGTTGCAAAAGTCATGGACTATTGCTTCTTCCTGTCAATCGTTGGCCAAACTGCAACAGTATAAGTGCACAAAGGATCATCAGCATGGACAGTCCAGGGGGGCGGCCCTCAAACGTGCTGAATCTTACACGTATGAAATGACTGACCTGATCCATGGATGTTTTTCTGAGTTTGCTGACAGCATGAAACAGGTTGTCACCGATAGCTCGGCTCAGAGACCCACAAAACGTGCACTTGTTGCTCTTAAGCTTCCCTCACCGGTAGCCGCAATGGCTGCTTACAACCTCGGGGAGTATTCGGAGGGCAACTTGGAGTACTGGCGAGGAGTGATGACGAGCTTTACGTCGAACACTCTGTTCCAGGAGACGAGGCCCGAGGACCGCAAGACAATGGAGCAGATCCTCGGAGCAGAAGCCACTCTCCAAAGCTCATGCGCTATGTGGGCGGCTGACTACGCGCCGGAGCTCATGGACACGCTTTGCGCTGTCAATGACAAAGGCCTTGGCCGCATCACGCCCGGGGCAACCTGTGGCCGAAATAGCGTGTACCTCGTCGTGAGTGACTCCAGCCTCGCCCTCATCAGCGGTGGCAAGAAGAACCGCAAGAGGGCGGACCTGGCGCAGGACATGAACTACAACCGCAGTACGAGTTGTAGCCACTGTGAGGTGAGAATGTGTTGGGGAAAGGACCTCACATTTCTCACGTGGACAGTGAAGAGCGCCCTGAAGGACCTCAAGAAACCATGACTTCTTCGTGACGGTGTACTGGTCCGGGAACAAGCTCGTTGGCAGCGGTGGGATCTGCGATGAGCCCGAATGGCCATACCGATGCGGAGACGGTCACTGGCCCGAACTGTTCAACAAGTGCGCCAAGGCGATCGATGTGCTTGAGGAGTGCAGGAGTTGGTGAGGCATTGCGAACATCACGATCTTGGCCAACACCGAGGGTTCGTACTATATGCTCCCGCCCATCTACAACCAGTTCATGGAAAAGTTGTTGGATGAGTCGCTCAACAAGCACAAGCTCCTTCGCAAGAAGGAGTCGACGTTCTTGGTGTCTCGACAGGACAGGCTTGACAACTACCACATGGTGGACTCCATCGAGAACCGGAAGACGACGGTGGAGTGGTTGTGGTCGCTGTTCAACGTCATGAAGTGTGTCGCTGTCGTTGAGTCCCACAAAGAAGATTTCAACAACGTGAGGCTGCACCTTGAATATTCCCATGACGCCGAAGCTGGACTCAATCCGTACACTTTGGCTGAGTATGAGGCGAACAGGAAGCTCACGCTTGAGTCATGGGAAAGCCTTCAACGTCCGATCAAGCTCGCGAAGGGCCGCATCCTCGAAAAGATCGAGGAAGTCGAAATCAAGGAGGAGATGGACTATGATGACGATGATGCACTCCCGCAAGGGAGTGCCGCTGAGGCTGCGCTTGGCGTCAAGGCGGCTCCGGCTACACCCAAGCTCACCGCGAAAGCATCGCCAAAGGCACAGGCGAAAGCATCGACTGCTGCGGTGGCATCGGATGTGCGGGGGGCAACCCCTGCCGGAAGCGCATTGCCAGGCAAGCCCGGCGGAACCGTCATCTTCCGCGGCCAGGAGTACGAGGCGAGGATTCTCCCGGGCACGATCCTGAAGGTGCCCACCTTCATGAAGGGAGAGTCGTCCTCGACTGATCGGTGCACAACCATCTCTGGAATGCTTCGTGGCAGTTTTCAAGAACAGAGGCCACTCGATTTCGATGAGAACTATTTTGTCGACGTTCACCAGCTATGTGACAAATTCAACAGAAAGACCCGCAGCAATATCGGGTACAAGACGCTGTTGAAGATTTTTGCACTCGATCCGAAATGCAGATACACCGTCCTTGCGATCAAGCATCCTTCGGCTGCCGAGAACAACCAGGAGTGGGTTGTCGTCAAGGTTCGTGCCAGTCAGGGACACGCCAGCAGCGTTGATGCTGATGGCGACATCAGCCGGAACCAGTACGCACTTGCGAAGGCCATCTACGGGAAGTTTCTCCCGGAGGACGCTCGCAAGGTCGGACTGCAGCTTTCGCCGATTGATGATGGCCCTGGCAAACTATACCATCGCACGAGCAAGAACGCAGCCGAGAACATCGTCAGGACAGGTTTGATCCCGGGTGGCGTTGGGGCCACGGAGAGTGGCCGCTCGCAGAGCCACTTCTCCATCCACCCGGTAGAGAGCTCATCGTACAATGCTGGAGTTCGAGCAACAATGCCCATTGAGCTTGTCATCGACTTCAAGTATGCGATTGAGCTCGGAGTGGTGTTTTTCCTTTCGGAGTCTGACGTCATGCTGACATCCGACATCGTTCCCAATGACTCCATTCTGTACTACACAGATGCGAAGACAGGTGAAGTGCTTTGGAGAAACGCCCTTCGTCTTGAGGCATTGGAGAATCAAACGACTGTCGACACGCTCGCCGCAAGGCGAGCCGTCACTGTGACTGCAGACGAGGCCTTTCAGACCGATGCGGAGGGAAACAGGGCCACAAATCCTGAAGAAGAGCAGACGAATGAGGACACGGCCGCCTCTCGCCCGGGGCAACCCGCGGCCGACACCTCAGTCGTCAGGTTCAAGACCTTCGCTATGCCCGTCCACTACACGGACTGCAGCCTCTGCGGCGAGGACATGATGCAGGGGCAGCTCAAGTGCCAGCGTTGCGGACGGAGCACCAAGGAGAACAATGACGTTCAGCTCTTCAGAGCCGCAAAGCGGAGAACGCAGATGCTTGAGGAGGTGAGTCACCGCGTTGGCAAGACGGTTGATCAGCTCCTCATCAACGATTTCAAGGGCTATGCTGATGTTGCGAAGAGAGGAGCAACATCCTTTGAAGCCAAGCAGATTGAGGCTTCGAAGAACTACGATAGCAGGGCCCGCAAGCTTGGATATGACAATGTGGTGGATCGGTTTGACAAAGACGCGACCTTTGCCCTTCGCATGGTGGAGCAAGGACACAATCGCGACAGCCTCTACCAAATGTCTATCTATAGGTTTTGTGTCCTCCCCGAATTTCCACGGAGTTATGATCAGCGACTTCTCGGGGTTGGGCCAGGCTATGGAAAACGAGGTCTCCATTACGTGAGGACTGTCTACGTCACCGGCGGCAAGGTCGGGGACTATGACGCCAGCCTGCATACGTTTCCATGGCTATTCTCGTATAACGGGAAAATGCTGAGCCTTCATCAATTCGTCGCCCAGGTCAACATCCTCCCGGGGATGCGCAACCTTGTCACCTTTGGCAGAAAGTTCCCTACGCTCCGGGCAACCGGAGCCGAGGACCTCGAAGCTGAAGTCAAGGAGATTTGCTGCCAGGCGGAGGACGATGCGAAGAAGCTCGCACGGCGCAGCCAGAGGCAAAGCGCCGAGGACCGTGCCCGCAGACCTGTGCAACCTGCTCAGCCCGCCTCCAGCTCCGCTGCCAGAAGCCGAAGCTGGAGAGATTGGGGCAGTCAGGACTGGAGCAGTCAGGACTGGAGCAGTTGGCAGTGGTCGACCTGGAGTTCGCGCGGCTGGTCTACTAGCGGAAGGTGGTGAACGCAATCGTCATCACAACGGAGCCCTTCTGAGAGAGTAGCAATTCGCATGCACGACGGATGTGTAATGTCCATTTTCAACGTGCAATGGATGCGCGTATGGAATCAAAGCGGGTTGCAAAACCTGCCGACATTTTCGTTGTTGCTCAATCTCAAATGAGGGGGGTGTGGATTCAGGTTCCAACCCTGTGCATGAGTGTACTTGTACATGCTCCGCCGCTACAGACTTCAAGATCACTGACAGCAGTGTGAAAAGGTAGTCAACGGTTTGCTGCTTGCCTAGGTATTCCCTTAGGTGGCCTAGGCTTGATAACACACCAAAGGGTCCCCAATCGAAACTTGCACCCACATGTCCCACACTAGAAAGGAAAGCTCAGGCATTCGCAACTGCCTCACGCGATGCTCGATCGACATTTCGCTGTGGACCCTCGTCGGGGTGTCCAAACAGCTAGGCAGTTGCAAAGCTGCAGGCAATTGGCGCCAAAGCTTCACAGAGCAGCCCTTTACATGTTTGGTTGCATGCTTGTTTCATGCACGGGCTCAGTCATGGTTGCATTCCAGGCCGTCTAGGAGCTCTAGTGATTCTAGTGTCTGGTGTTTGCTTAAGCAAGGCTTTGTTCACCCTTGAATTCTATGAATCGTATGGCGGCAAGCCCCGCTTTGACCGCCGGCCCAGGCCACAAGGGCAGGGCATCGCGAAGAGTGAGGCGGGAGCCCGTGCTGGCCCCTTTGGCTGGAACGCGTGGTTTTTAAATCCGGGACTATTGGGTACACTATGGTTCTGGGTTCAGGCATTCAACCTCTTACATATTTTACCAAATAGCATCGGATACCATATATAGCCTGATTTCCTGGTTCTACCGCCAGTTGCATCTCCTGCTTTTTCGACTGTTGCCTGGGCAGGAGCCTTTTCGAACACTGACAGGAGCTCAGTTGGATGCCGGTGGTGTGACCTCAAGGTTGACAAGGTTTGGGGGGAAATCTGCTTGGAGGGTTTGCGTACCCCCTTCATCATGAAGACCAATCCCTCTCCGACACTTCCTGCCGCTGCACAAGGGGAATCATGTTCTTTTCCCCCACGTTGAAGAGTGCCGTGATTGATCGGCTGAGTTGTCTTGCAGGGGGACTGGCATGGGCGTTGGGTCGCCTGCAAAGCTTCCTGTTTGCGCCTGCGTATGGGAGGAGCTTTGAAATGGGAGTGCATGGGCCTTTGCGATTCCTTTGGACCTTTGCGGGGAGAGGGGCGCTGCCAGGTGGGAGGGACGGGAAGTGGGCCGACCAAACCTTGGCCCCCGAATCATCTCTGAACACGGTTGTTGTTGACCGGGTATCATGTTGCAACGCTTGGTCAAGTCTGATCTTGGGAGTTACAACACAAACTGGCGGCTGCCCCTCTGCGCCTTGCTGTGTCGTGTAGCTGCCCCACACTCAATGCGTGGGCGTGCTCATGTTTTCAGGGATGGGCATCCACCTGAAAAAGAATCCTGCACCGCCACTGATTTCTAAGGGACCCATGACCAATCGGTAAAAATGGAGCTTTGGCCATGGCTCGTGTCTCTGAGGCGTACCAGCCGCCTGCCTAGAGCTCGCTTTGCAGCTGGGCCGTAGGTTGCAACCTCTTTCGGCATGGTGACATCACTTTTTGCTGGACCCTAAACATGTGGTTTGCATGTGGCTTGCCTATGCAAAAAAAAGGGTGCGCCCAAAAAAGGACGCTGTACGCTGAGCCTTCTGACCAGCCGGCCACGGGAAGCCTCGCGCCATGGCGCGACGGCCACTCGATGACATGCGACTCCTCTCTGAACGACTGGCATCATCTCGCTCCGGATCATCGGCATTTTGACCCGACTCGTTTCACAGAAATCCGCACAGTTCGGAAGCCTGCAGGATCGCCCTAGGTGTCATAGCTGACGATCGCCAACAGGGAGGTTCTCATTCAATAGATTTGTTGTGCCATTCGCACTGCTTAAAGGTGAGAGGGAAAGACGTGTTGTGTGAAGTGTTGCTGGCTTTGGGTGTTGCATTTGTCACACTTGCAGTTTGTTCTGAATGCTATTCCAGCTGCCTGGCAGCCTTCGATACAGTTTCCCATGAAGCGTGGGTTTGCGGCAACCGCAAGCTCAGAGAGGCTGGGATGGCCCCAACCCAGATGATATGTCAATGATCAAATTATTTGTGTTTGCTTTTTGGCAAAATAAGTTTCGCACCTGCAGATGTGTGTAGAGCCGGCGTTGTTTTTTTTTTTTTTTTTTTACGAACGAGGTACGAAAGCGGAGCTATTGACGAAGGACAGCCTCCGGGCTGGCTCGTTGAGGTGTCCGGAAGTGCTTGCTTAGACAGCCTCGATCTTATTTTTGTCTTAGGGCTTGGTTTATCTTTCTTGCCTCACCGTTCCCCTTCACATCCCAAAATGGGCACATGTTGTCTCCCACATAGTGAGGTACCGAGCGCAAAGGTATCCTCTGATCAACTGGCAAGTTCCGCAAAAGCCATGGCCTAGGTGTCCTCAACTGGGTGCCCGCTTGATTTCTAGATGCCTCATTGCCCCTTTCATGGGTGCCCGCAAGGAGCCTTCCATGCCCAAAGATGGCGCGGAAAAAGCCGAAGCCTCGGCTTGAGAACGAAGGAGAGGGAACCCAAAACGCGAGCTTCTCCAGAACCTGGAATCAACACGCGTGACACACTTCTGAGGCAGGTGGGAATGTGTCAAAGCAGGCACCCAAGTTGATTGCAGTCACGGTTATCCTGGCATTTTGCACGCCCGCGAGGGATCCCCAAGTTCACACATGCGCACTTGATCCAATCACAGCGCTTCGAAATTGGCGAGGCTCACTTTGCTTGTCGCCAGCAAGTCGAGGGCTTTTGACTCATCAAGACCGCCGAAGGTGCGACTAGACGGGCTGTCTGAGACATCGCCTGAGCCTCGGAGATTGAGCTGAGCGACGAGTGTGTTTTACGCTTTGCCTTTTGCACCCGCCAGCGGTGTGACAACTTGCAAGGTCAGGGTGATGTGAAGGACGCCCTTGCTGCTTTGTTGGGCGCATGCAACATGCCTCAAGCCGGGCTCAAGCCATTTAGAATGCACACTTGTATTTCCAGGTGTTCAGCCGAAGCTTTTGCTTTGCAGGCAAGAGCCCTCCTAGCCTCAGCCAGCAAACCCCCCGACTCCGCTTGCCTTGCGCAGCGAACTCCCCATCAGCAAGCACATCAGCCAGCATCACGCCGTCAAAGTCGGGCGGCAGAGACTGCCCGAGCTGGCCATGCAGTGGGCCCGAAAGCAGTTCAAGAGCTTCTTGCCCTCGAAGCTCCTTGGCATTGCAGGACAAAGGCTCTGAATGAGGAATCAAGCAAACATGACGTATACGAGTGGTTGTGTTTTTGGAGGGTACCCTTTTCACCCACAAGATTTGGCCAAGAGGCCCAGATTTGGCCAAGAGACTCCTCTGAATAATTGGTCCGGCCCTCTGATTGATTTCCGGCCCAAAATCCAAAAAAATAATTCGGAATGTCCAAGGCCATTGGCGATACTATTGCCGTTCCAGAAATCAAAAAAAAAACAGCTAGTCAAAAAAAGCGGGCTTCTTCGTACAAACTAATAACAAAAAGCAAAGTAAATGGTATGCCCCTCCCCGCTCGAATCACGCAAAACCGGCAGTGCATCAGCATGTTGTTTAAAGCGCGCAGCTTCCATTGGAGGACCGAGCTGTGAATATTCATGTAGTCCGGGCCTTTTCACTGACGTCCATATCTTTCTGGAACTGATGTTTGGCCCACACAGGCCGGCGACCCCTTTGGGGCCTTTGGAGTCAGAGCTCAAGCTAGCCAATAGGCCACGGAACGTGTGCCGCATAGCGGAAAGGTGTGCGCGAGTGGGAAACTCGCTGGTGTTGTCTTGCCTTCCGTGTTTTGTTCACGGAAGAGGTGCACTAAGTTTATTTATTCATCATGAGGCAGCACGCTTGAAATTTGATGATAGCGAAATTTGTAGGAACACGCATTGGGGCAAGGTAACACTTGTCCACAGAAGTGTCTTGAAAGGAAAATCCCCTCAACATATAGGGAACCAGGCAGGGGTTTCACTTCTTTTCGCACGACCTATCATTCTGGCATAGGCGAGGACTGGTTGCAGAGTCTTAGATGTTTGGAGGGCATAAAGGAGTCACGTGTGCATTGATTGAGTGTGCCAAGAGCTAGTCACGATGAAACCAATTCGAAATGAGCCTATCTTCCACAACCGTCCTTTTGTGGGAACAGAGCTTAAGGCATTGACTGGAGGGACACAGGAATTCCGCAACATGTTCTTCAACTTTGCGCTCCCAGACACCATGGATCATTAAATCCACACCTTTTCGCCACCGAAAGGGGGCTGAAGAATGTGTTCTTGAGGTGCCCTATTTCACACCCAGCTGGGCATTGCTATGGGTCAGCAGGTTCGTCATGTTCTCAAGGCTTTCCCTCCCGCGTCCCCGGCACATCGGTTGCATGGCCCGGCTCTTGACTTACGTCGCTGGAAGAAATGTCCACAGGTCCACAACTTCTCGGCCAGCCGTGATTTTGTCCTTTTGGCTCGCTCGACGCAAAACCCTCGGGCAATGTTGCCATATCGCACATTCCCCGGGCTGGCCGAGCCTGACTGAGGCCTGATGAGAAGGCTGGCCTGTCAGTCACCCTTCGATGCACTGGGAGCCAGCAGGTTTGTATCCAAAGTGCCTCGAAGTTCTGACGCATTGCGTAGCGGGGGCGACCGGTCTCAAGATGCGAGTGACAAAGTAGCGTGCAGCCTTAGCACCTTTAGGACAGAGCATTTTGTTAGCAGAGGTTTGCTGGGACATGGACTCTTACCAATGAGAAAGGGACAGGCGCATGGGATGGTGTCGTGCGTCCTAGTTTTGGTGGAGTGCCGACCCCCAACAGCATGTGTCCAAAGGCAAATCAATCATTCAATTGGTCCTTCGGTGTTCTATGTGCTGGAAGTCAGCCAGATCCTTCTCGGGCCTTTGGGTTGCCTGGGGCCTGATTTCCAGAGCTGAATGACTTGTATGGCCAAAGGAATGGGTGAGTGTTGCCCGATTGGCGATTGCCAGAGGTGCGGGAAAGGCCCTTGTGGGGAGGCATCGCAGCCGGGGACTCCACATGACTGAGGTCTTTTCTGCGGAGGCATTCTCTTTGCCACGCGCAGGCACACGCACACACAGACACAGACACAGACACAGACACACAGACACACACAGACACACACACACACACACACACACACACACACACACACACACACACACACACAGACACACACACACACACAGACACGCAGAGACACACAGAGAGACACACAGAGACACACAGACACACAGAGGCGCACCTTTGTTTCGTTGCCTATTTCGTTGCCAGCTCTGCCTTGCAAGCCAGGGTCTCCTCATGACAAGTAGCCACGCAGGCTGAGCCAATCCAATCAGGAGTTTGGCTTAGTTTACTTGTTGCTGCAGCCGCCTTGGCCAAGATGAACTGGTGGCCCGGTTCCACCTTGTCAAAAGCTAACGTGTTCTTAACATAAGACGGACAGGGCGTGTCTTTTTTCCTTTTTGTGGGGCCCGCCCTCCCCCACCCCCCTCAAATCGTGCTTATCCTTTCGGTTCTCCCGTAAAGCTCCAAAAGAACACCTCAGAAAAAGACGAGCCACGTCTTGGCGCACGAAGCGCGCATTTGGCCAGGCCCGCCCGGCCAACGAGCCGCGGTCCAGCGAGCACCTCAAGGCGGAGGCGTGGGGTCTTCCGCCGCTTTCTCATCGGCAAGCAGCTTCTAAGGTTTGATGCCCCATTCTCGTCAATCAGGGGACTGGTTTCGCTTGGCCCAAGAAGGGGCTCGATGCTCAAACCGATTGTTTCGGTGCCCCAAACGGACAGCTGTCCTGAAACAACCTTTGGCTCCCTTTGGCCCGAGAGCCGCGCGGAAGTTTTTGTCGGACATGCCCCTACTGTAGCTGCCAATGGTTCCCAATCTAAAAAGCTTAACTTGTCGTTGGACATGCCTCTGACCCAACCAAATAGCCAACGTTAAGGCCGCGGATCCCAGCAACTAGCAAAGACGTTGATGTCATTCACTTGGCAAATGGGTCGGATCCAGCCGGTGGTCACGAGCTCTCGCACTGGAAAACGCACGCGATGTTCCATTGCGTTGAGCAAGTGCTGCGTGCTGGGTCGGGTGCGGCTGGCTACCTTTCTGTAATTAGGAAATCTTGACCAAACCTAGGCCCTGTGCAACCTCTAGCCTCTAGATCCTTGCCAATGGGCAAGTGGCGGAAACCCAAGAATCCAGCCGCCCCCATTCTCTTCACAGATGCCTCTCTACCAAAAACTGGGTCGAGCCCCCCATGGTTTCGAACCACCCAAGGCACGAAGCGAGGTGCACGCGCCGACGCGCCGATCGCCAGGCGCAGCTGCTGCAGGGCCAACTGGACGCCTTAGTCGCTGGCCTCGAAGCCACCGCGCCTGGATTGAAGTTGGGTTGCGGGGGAAGGGGGGGGGGGGGGGAGGGCGGGGTGCGCCCAGGCGAGTTCTGAGAAAGTTGTTTGTTGTGAATATATATATATATATATATATTTGTATATGTGGGTACAGAAAAAAGCACTGGAATATCCCAGCGTTTTCAAATCCAGACTTCTGGATTTGCGACTGTCTTGTCGCAAAGCTTCCCGCTATGGTGAAACAGCCCGCAAAGCCTGCGAGCCTTCTCCGAAGTTTACGTAGTTGACCTGAAAATCATGCAACTCGTTTTCTCTTGGTCCCCACCCGTCGGATGGGCTTGTTCGATTTTTGCGAACATCCGCCTGAAAGCCAGCAGCTCCAAGGACACAAATAACAGATTCCAAAGCCAGTCAGACACCGATGCACCACCCATGAGATAGCCGGTCAGATGAGGATGCCAGATGCCAGAGACAGTGAGATACAGCCGCGCGCTACGCGGACGTCCGGGAAAGTATGTCGTTCGTGTCCCAGCGGCTTGCATGAATGAACCTCATCTTGCTGAGGCCGTCAATGGCGTGTGGGTGCAGAGGTTCATTGACCTGCACCAGCAGCATATGGAGCTCCTGAGCTGCGTTCAGAGTTTTTCCTGGCCAGGGAATTGAGCACTCGATTGGGTCAGTTTGGTCAATTCTGCCAGTTTGTTTTTCTCTAGTTTGGTCAGCTTCTTGTGTTTCCATGCATGGATCCAAGGACCCTGCTTGATTGTGGGAAAATAATATTAAATAGGAGTTCGCACTGTCAGTTTAGGGGATGTTATTGTGAACATGCCCGGCGCACATGCCGCGTCTTGAAGGCCATAATCGCTGCATATCCCAGCAAACGTGGCCCCTACTTCGCGGTGCGGTGAGCATAGAGCATCTACACAAACAAGCGAGAAAACGAACAAGTGCATGAAGGAGCATTCAAAGGACACAGAACAAGGAGGTAACGTCACACAGACACACAAAGCAAAGGAGCAAGCAAGCAAGCAAACAAACAAGCAGCAACACAAACACAAGCAAACCAATAAACAGAGAAGCAGCTCAAAAAATATTGCTGGTTTTCTGTTGCAACTGATTTCCGTCGTGGAGGAACAACAATGCATGTGTTCATCAAAAACATGACTTTCATGACAAAGGCTTGGCGGTTATGCTCTTATGTCGCCATTCCTCTCCGCCCTTGCCGCGTTTACTGGCTTGCCTACTGTATGCAACGCCGCCGTGCTTTTTTGGGGACTTGATGACAGGTTTGCAACCCGCCCTGCGACAAGGATTGGCTGCCGCTTGGAGGATGGCACTGTGAACGTCAATGCAGAAGTGAAGCGATTGTGCCTTGGCCTTTTCGCACAACAGACATTGGCTTGCTACTACTCTTTGTACAGCTTGCTGGCCATTAAAATTGAGAAGCTAATTTGCTTGCATTTGAGTGATGCAGGCCGACAGCCTTAAAATTCCTGGTTCGCGGCTGCTGTTGCAATCGACATGCTGGGCTTCGTGCAATGTGCGCACGCTGTGTTGTGTTGCACCGTGTTGTGGTTCACAGCGTGTTGCTGGGTCGGTTCTATTCACGTTGCAACTGTCTAAGCACTTGGGCTCATCCTCTCAATTTTCTGCAGTGGTCCAAGCGTTGTTTCGACCTGTTGCACAAGAGGATGGAGCGATGATGTCAAGGTTTATTCGAGGCAAAGCCTGTCAGCTCGAATCCGCCAAGTGCCAAGATTTGTGCAATGTCGTGGTTTGGGATTCAATAGCGTGGACTGACCGCGGAACATTGGACGTGGGACATCTCAAACCTTCATTGTTACTCTCAAATGTTATGAAGTGAGGTGGTAATTCATGGACACCATGTTTTCTCTCTTCCCGGCGGGAACCGTTGAATTTCACCACAAAACTGGCAGCTACCTCGCGCCCGTGTCAACATCTTTGAACCCCCAGCGTTTGGACGAGGCAGACCGTCCTGGCGCATCCCAAAGTCTTGGCGGCCCTGGACACGCCTGGCCTGTACAAGGGCAAGACCGGGCACATAGGCACCGGCTGCCCAAGGGCGTTTGGCCCGCGTCGCGTTTGCCGATTTTGCCGTGCTCTGGCAAGCGCCAAGTATGCTTTCCAGTATTGAAACAAGAGTTCTCTGGGCACACTTTCTGTCATGTTTGAGGATTTGGCATGTAGTCCATGACATGTTGCGGGGCAAAAGACATGAGGGTTTGCATAGAAGTTTGATTGATTTAAGGTGTCCAAAGGTTCTGCTTCGACCTTCGCTTGAGCTCAGGATGCTTCACACTACCAGTGCGGACATATTCCAAGTCAATCCAGTCCAAAACACAGTAGATCAACCACCGATCCAAACTAACAATCTAGGTCACCAACTCACCAAGCAATCTGGGTGGTTTTTTTTTGGTTGGACCCCAAGAACATGCTGGGATTCCTTTTGGTTTATCTTCTTCCACCACCAAAAACGGGGTAACAACTCAACGACGAGCCACCCAGCACCAACTCACCGGCCGTCAGGGCCGAGCCCCAAAAGCGCCGCCGTCAGCAGCCCGGTGCACCCGGCGCAGGTCTTCAACGTAGGCCGCTCGACCTGTGAACAATGATTTGGGCAACTTGTGTTTCACATCAGACAAATACATATATATATATATATATACACAAATATATTGATTTATTTACTACATACATTCATCTACATATATATATATACAGATATATATATATATATATATATGTAAAGCTTAATGTGTAGCATTGCTTCTGAGAAAAGAGGCCGATCTCGTCAGCAAACTTGGTCCAACTCTTTGAGGGCTAGCTGGTTACGTTGGACAGCAGCTTGGGAACCACTTAGGTTGGGGGGCAACGGGTTTGAACATGCGATGATCAACGGCCATAGACCCTCCACGCTACAAACGCCGGAGGGTTTTCTCCGGCCGAGCGATCGCCCAGGATAGGAATCTGGTTTTTGGGAAAGGCATGCGGACAGCTTGCTGAGAATCCGGAAGTTCCGAAACTTTCCAAAACTCTGTAAGGAGGCATTAGACGCCGGTCACCTGCAAGCACATTCTGCCTGGTCAAGAAGATAAAGCATATCCACACACGCACAAAACAGAAACGGTTGACACTGCCTATTGCTAAGGTATGGATGATGCTCCACGGCTGCAGACATGTTGCGTCATCCTGTGTTTTGCCTGCCTGGGGCATTTTCTGGCATAGAGTCAGACACACATTCCGTTCCTGCTGATTTGCAAGTAGTGGTGCGGATTTGCCCGACAAAACCAACCAACAATGAAGGGAGAGTGTGCTCAAAGCCTGGCCTTGTCCCAGAGTCAAGGCATTTGCATTGGGGCTTCTGCCGTTTGTCGTCCTTGCGCTTGGGTTGAAGCCCATGGCCAAACGCGGCATGCGATTTTTGTTAGGACAGCGAGGAGGACTCTTTGGGCGCTTCGATCGACGCCGTTGGGCCCCATGCCAGTTGACGCGCCACGCGTTGCCAACTCGGGGCAGGGAATTCTTTTTGGCACATGTACAAGGCTCCTGAAAAAGATACATGTTGCAACCATTTGAAACATGCCTTTTTTTCCACCAAAATAAAGGGAGACCACCAGTAACAAGGCAATGTTCAGGTGTATGTAAGGATCCCTGACAGGACCCTCGAAACGGCTTGTCCGAAGCAAAAAATGATGCGAGTGCAAGAGCAAGTGCGAGTTCTCACACAGTCGCCTCGAAAGTTCTTTGCCTTAGGCATCACTTGTTCTGGAGGTCTCAGTTTTCATGGCTTCCCCTGACCACCGGACTGGTGGGAAGTGCCATGCGACGGGTTTCTCAAACTGCCGGACCTTTTGGCAGAAGAGAAAACCAAAAAGAAAACCATTGCCATGTTTGGCTTCGGGACCGATTCCTATATTGAGAATACGGGTCCGTGGTGTGGCTGACAACCCAAAATCCGTTGGTTTTCAGGGAAACCAGAAGCAAACCCGCAACCAAGCCAGACCACGAGGAACATGGAACACGTGTTTTGGGGCTTATACCCCAAACCACAGGAAGACCCATCCATTTCGCTGCTCGCTGCGGCATCTCTTCGCGAGGAGGTCGTGGATGCTAGCGGGGCACGGCACAGCGCTCCGCCGCCCAGCGGCAACATGATACCTGGTCTTTATTTTGGGCCGAACTGGGTGTCTCGTTCCTTTACCCAGTTGCCCAGTGGCGCTCTTTTTGGGAAGGGTTTGCCTTTAAAGTCAACCAACCCAAAAAGGATGCCTTTTTTCCCATGGCCACTGGGCATCTGAGTTTGAAAACAACCAGGCAAGGGTATTCAGCCAAAGGGTCACCCCCAAATATCCTTCAGGATCTTGGCTCAGCTTGAAAATCCTGAACTTTTAAGCTCGCTTTCTGCGGGCTTCTCAGACTCATGTCCAATCATCCAAGGCCACGTTCGGCTGCAGTTTGCTTCCAGAAACACGGGGCCGGCCCTTCGTGTGCGAAGCCTTTCCACGGACTCGTGTCTCGAGTCTCGAGTCTCGAGGCGCGGCTTCCGCGAGGCGGCCGGAAGCCCAGTCATTGGAAGCTGGGCGCGATTTGTTTCTTCCCCCAGACAGTTGGGTGAGTCTCTTTTGTTGTTGCTTTTTTGGTGGTTCTCAAGAGAAACCAGCAGGAAAACCGCCATTTTCATTTTGAGGGGGGGGGGGGGTGAAGTCGTGTTATTGTCCCACTTCACTGTTGGATCATGTTTTTAGGTTCGTGGGCTTTTCTGGTTCTGTCCATTTTTAGGCTGCAAAGAGTAACAGGTTTTCTGCCAAGTTGGAAAGCCCACTAACCTGAGAAAGTTGAACTGGAGTCGCTGTTTTGCTTTCGGGTCGGGCCGGGCGGAGTTTCTTTCATTTGCCAGGGGGCGGAGTGCTAGCAGATTTTGCCGCGGCTTAGCGGCTTACATGGCAAAGCGTGGAAACTAAGCGGCAAACACTCAGACCCTATTTCTTGACTGCTATTTGGTTGGATCTTTAGACTTTAACTTTTTGAGAAATCAAGGGATTTTCCACTGAACCCCCAAAAAGTTAAACTTTTTGCAGGGGGGTCAACAGCAACCAAGTTGTCAAGAGAATGGGAGAGGGTTTGGCTCGGAAGAAAGCTGGTTGGCTGGCGCAACAACGGGTGGCTGTCACCAACGGGCGAAGCAGAGGTAATCACGCAATCCGCATGTGACTGCTTTCTCCCTGTGATTGCTTTGAACCCCAATTGGCAACAAATAACAAGCGTTACCAGCAAGTGGAAGACCAAAAGGTCATCAATGTGCTGAGACCCGGGGAACCAATTCAAACAAAGTTGTGCACGGGAGCTGCAAGATTGTTCAAATATGTGACCCGTTCAAGTTAGAATCCCAATTGATTCAAAAGGCACATGATTGAATGCCTCTGCAGCTTGCTGAACATATGCAATTCGATGGGCACGGTGCGGCCCTCAACGTTTCCGCTGCGAGCCTCAAGGCCCAATTGGTCAGCTCGAAACTTGATTCGAATCAAGCAAATGGTGTTTCTGTTTTAGGGACCAGGCAAAAAATGTAGTTTTCCTCTTGGTTTTCCTTTTAAAGCTTCAAAACAGGTCAAAAAAGACACCCAAATCATGCTACCCACCCGAAGTGTTCAGGCGATTGATGAGCCGGATGACCTCGAGCGCGCCTATGCCTTCGACGACTTGCTGTCGCCAGGCGCGTGTTTTCGCGGGCTGAGAGGACTGAGAGGCGGGGGCGCCGCTTAGACTTGCGCATGTGCAAACTTTGGCGCACTCTGCTTGGTTGCATTGATAACATTTGGACAGAAACACGCAGGCATTTCAGCCAGCAAAGCGTGATTCCACCACTACCACTCCCAGGTTCTGGACCTCAACCCTTTAGATATTATCCCTTTTCACAACCAAATGGTAGCTGTGCGGCTCGTGATTGTAACTTGCTTGTGACAGCCCTCTTTCCTTCGCACACGCCAACCATAGGCCAGATGTGGAAGTTGTAACTTCCGGTTGCAAGGCCGGCTGTCAGCAGCTTCCAAACGTCAAACCTTGCCGGAGCCTTGTTTTCATACCTGCCGCCTTTGCAAGATGCGTGAATGCAAAAAGAGGGCCCGCCGTTTTGATAGCCCCCACCATGCTTTTGCTCGGTTGCTTTCTGCTCCCTTGCTAGAAGCTTAACTTTTAGTGGAAAACCCATTAGTTGGCAAAAAGTTAAAGTCCTAGAAGTTCGTCCCAGGCCAAGGTCCCTCAAAAACGAGATCGAACCTGAAGTCCCTGCGAACATATACCTTTTTCCTTGGCATTTCTTTGCACTAGAGAGCTCGGACGGAAACGGGCTCACAGGTCCTCTTGGGATTCCAATCGGGTCAGATCGCACGCAAGAGCCATTGGCAGAAATCAAGGCTTAGCCTTGCCAACCCCTGGTTGAGTGGCATGTTCCAATTGGTAGCTTCCGGGAAGGCGGTTGGGCAGTTCGACTTGCCACGCTTCCATGACATCCTTCCCAAGTTGCTACGAGTGATACTGTAAGCCTGCAGATGTGTCCAGGCGCTTCGGCGTTCAAGCCTCCAGCGCGTCCCGGGCCGTCGCCGAAGGACGGCTTTGGTCTGATTATATGTGGGCGGGCAATGTCTCATTCAAGGACAGATGTGCTTTGAATGATAAAGTGATGGCCTTGTGTTGTGACGTATTGGATTGGATGTCACACCCTGTGCGTGGTGCGAGGTGTGTGTGTGTGTGTGACATGCCGCAGGCTGATGCTGCAAGGACTGCGCAAGAGGAGCTAGCCAAAGAAGCAGCTGACATCGGAGGCGGGATTCCAAAAGGTGAGGAAAGAGCGATGCTGGCACAGAGCTCAGCCACGGCCGAGCAAATGGCTCAGCAAGTTCGCTTGGCCAAAGATGCCGCTGAAGCACAGTGCGCAAGGCAGGAAAGAATCCAAAGAGAAGCAGAGGCTATGGAGGCAGCTAAAGCCAAAAAGGAGGAGGAGGACCGCCTGGCCAAAGAGGCAGAAGAGGCTGCCAAGAAGGAAGAGGAGGAGCGCCTGGCCAAAGAGGCAGAAGCGGCGGCCACGAGGGAAGAGGAGGAGCGTCTGGCCAGAGAGGCAGAAGAGGCTGCCAAGAAGGAAGAGGAGGAGCGCCTGGCCAGAGAGGCAGAAGAGGCTGCCAAGAAGGAAGAGGAGGAGCGCTTGGCCACAGAGGCTGAAGAGGCTGCGAAGAAGGAAGAAGAGGAGCGCCTGGCCAGAGAGGCAGAAGAGGCTGCAAAGAAGGAAGAGGAGGAGCGCCTGGCCAGAGAGGCAGAAGAGGCGGCCAGGAGGGAAGAGGAGGAGCGCCTGGCCAAAGAGGCAGAAGAGGCTGCAAAGAAGGAAGAGGAGGAGCGCATGGCCAAAGAGGCAGAAGAGGCGGCCAAGAAGGAAGAGGAGGAGCGCCTGGCCAAAGAGGCAGAAGAGGCTGCCAAGAAGGAAGAGGAGGAGCGAGAGGCAGAAGAGGCTGCAAAGAAGGAAGAAGAGGAGCGCCTGGCCAGAGAGGCAGAAGAGGCTGCCAAGAGGGAAGAGGAGGAGCGCCTGGTCAAAGAGGCAGAAGAGGCGGCCAGGAGGGAAGAGGAGGAGCGCCTGGCCAAAGAGGCAGAAGAGGCGGCCAAGAAGGAAGAGGAGGAGCGCCTGGCCAAAGACGCAGAAGAGGCTGCGAAGAAGGAAGAGGAGGAGCGCCTGGCCAAAGAGGCAGAAGAGGCGGCCAGGACGGAAGAGGAGGAGCGCCTGGCCAAAGAGGCAGAAGAGGCTAACAAGAAGGAAGAGGAGGAGCGCCTGGCCAGAGAGGCAGAAGAGGCTGCCAAGAAGGAAGAAAGGGAGAGTCTGGCCAAAGAGGCAGAAGAGGCGGCCAAGAAGGAAGAGGAGGAGCGCCTGGCCAAAGAGGCAGAAGAGGCTGCGAAGAAGGAAGAGGAGGAGCGCCTGGCCAAAGAGGCAGAAGAGGCTGCAAAGAAGAAAGAGGAGGAGCGCGTGGCCAAAGAGGCAGAAGAGGCGGCCAGGAGGGAAGAGGAGGAGCACCTGGCCAAAGAGGCAGAAGAGGCGGCCAGGAGGGAAGAGGAGGAGCGCCTGGCCAAAGAGGCAGAAGAGGCTGCCAAGAAGGAAGAGGAGGACCGCCTGGCCAAAGAGGCAGAAGAGGCTGCCAAGAAGGAAGAGGAGGACCGCCTGGCCAAAGAGGCAGAAGAGGCGGCCAGGACGGAAGAGGAGGAGCGCCTGGCCAGAGAGGCAGCAGAGGCCGCAAAGAAGGAAGAGGAGGAGCGCCTGGCCAGAGAGGCAGAAGAGGCTGCAAAGAAGGAAGAGGAGGAGCGCATGGCCAAAGAGGCAGAAGAGGCGGCCAAGAAGGAAGAGGAGGAGCGCATGGCCAAAGAGGCAGAAGAGGCGGCCAAGAAGGAAGAGGAGGAGCGCCTGGCCAAAGTGGCAGAAGAGGCTAACAAGAAGGAAGAGGAGGAGCGCCTGGCCAGAGAGGCAGAAGAGGCTGCCAAGAAGGAAGAGGAGGAGAATCTGGCCAAAGAGGCAGAAGAGGCGGCCAAGAAGGAAGAGGAGGAGCGCCTGGCCAAAGAGGCTGAAGAGGCTGCGAAGAAGGAAGAGGAGGAGCGCGTGGCCAGAGAGGCAGAAGAGGCTGCCAAGAAGGAGCTCGATTCGACAGCCAGTTGGTTAGGCCAGTCGACTTGCCACCACAGCATTTGTTTCCCCAGCTCCTGCAGCACCCACTCCTGAACAAATTTGATGGGTCAAGTACGCCAAATGGCCATTGATTCACTCACGGTTTCTCGCAGTTGTGAGCCGAGACAAAAGCAGGACTTGCTGGGGCCTAGTGCTGCGCATGCTGCGCATGGCATCGAGGACAGGGGCTAGCGCGCGCATGGGTGCTGACTGGCGGTTGCAAGCAGGGCCAAAACTCTCTCAAGAGTGCTAGCTGTTGCCAGCAGCGTCGTCAAAGAGGTGACAAGGCGGCAGAGCATGGGGGCAATGGCGAAGAATTCAAGATCACCAGGACGATGACCTGCTTGGCGGGCCTAGCGTTTCATCGCGGCAGCCGGACGCGCACCAGGACTGGGAAGCGGAATGCTGCAGCACACTTGGTGTTGAATCAGAGCAAATAGAGCAAGAAAGCCAGAGGAATGATAGAGACATGATACCTTGCAGCAGGATGCTTAGGTTGGCTCGTGTTGGGTCACGTTGCTTGACAGAGACTTTAGCCTACACTTGGCATGCAATGCAGATAGCTTAGATTGTCAGAAACGTGTCGAGGCAAGACGGTGCTATTTCCCGTTGCTTACGCACTCTGCTATGTCACAATGTGAAGTCAGTGCTTGCGCTAGCACAAAGATGTTGCCTGGATCACGTCGCCGCTTTCCTTTTGTTGCGGCGTGCCTTTTGCACTCATCAAGCCTTGGTTCTTGTATTTCCTGGTGACACCAGCTGGTATATAATTCTCGTTTGTCCTCCTCACTGTCCAACACAGTTCGGGTTGCGCTTTCTTGGACTGCTTTCGCAGGACTTGCTGGGGCCTAGTGCTGCGCATGCTGCGCATGCTGCGCATGCTGCGCATGGCATCGAGGACAGGGGCTAGCGCGCGCATGGGTGCTGACTGGCGGTTGCAAGCAGGGCCAAAACTCTCTCAAGAGTGCTAGCTGTTGCCAGCAGCGTCGTCAAAGAGGTGACAAGGCGGCAGAGCATGGGGGCAATGGCGAAGAACTCAAGATCACCAGGACGATGACCTGCTTGGCGGGCCTAGCGTTTCATCGCGGCAGCCGGACGCGCACCAGGACTGGGAAGCGGAATGCTGCAGCACACTTGGTGTTGAATCAGAGCAAATAGAGCAAGAAAGCCATGATAGAGACATGATACCTTGCAGCAGGATGCTTAGGTTGGCTCGTGTTGGGTCACGTTGCTTGACAGAGACTTTAGCCTACACTTGGTATGCAATGCGGATAGCTTAGATTGTCAGAAACGTGTCGAGCCAAGGCGGTGCTATTGTCTGCTGCTTACGCATTCTGATATGTCACAATGTGAAGTCAGTGCTTGCGCTAGCACAAAGATGTTGCCTGGATCACGTCGCCGCTTTCCTTTTGTTGCGGCTTGCCTTTTGCACTCATCAAGCCTTGGTTCTTGTATTTCCTGGTGACCAACCCGCAGACCAGCTGGTATATAATTCTCGTTTGTCCTCCTCACTGTCCAACACAGTTCGGGTTGGTCTTTCTTGGACTGCTTTCGCAGGACTTGCTGGGGCCTAGTGCTGCGCATGCTGCGCATGCTGCGCATGCTGCGCATGGCATCGAGGACAGGGGCTAGCGCGCATGGGTGCTGACTGGCGGTTGCAAGCATGGCCAAAACTCTGTGAAGAGTGATAGCTGTTGCCAGCAGAGTCGTCAAAGAGGTGACAAGGCGGCAGAGCATGGGGGCAATGGCGAAGAACTCAAGATCACCAGGACGATGACCTGCTTGGCGGGCCTAGCGTTTCATCGCGGCAGCCGGACGCGCACCAGGACTGGGAAGCGGAATGCTGCAGCACACTTGGTGTTGAATCAGAGCAAATAGAGCAAGAAAGCCAGAGGAATGATAGAGACATGATACCTTGCAGCAGGACGCTTAGGTTGGCTCGTGTTGGGTCACGTTGCTTGACAGAGACTTTAGCCTACACTTGGTATGCAATGCGGATAGCTTAGATTGTCAGAAACGTGTCGAGGCAAGGCGGTGCTATTTTCTGTTGCTTACGCATTCTGATATGTCACAATGTGAAGTCAGTGCTTGCGCTAGCACAAAGATGTTGCCTGGATCACGTCGCCGCTTTCCTTTCGTTGCGGCTTGCCTTTTGCACTCATCAAGCCTTGGTTCTTGTATTTCCTGGTGACCAACCCGCAGACCAGCTGGTATATAATTCTCGTTTGTCCTCCTCACTGTCCAACACAGTTCGGGTTGGGCTTTCTTGGATTGCTTTGGCAGGACTTGCTGGGGCCTAGTGCAGCGCATGCTGCGCATGGCATCGAGGACAGGGGCTAGCGCGCATGGGTGCTGACTGGCGGTTGCAAGCATGGCCAAAACTCTGTGAAGAGTGATAGCTGTTGCCAGCAGAGTCGTCAAAGAGGTGACAAGGCGGCAGAGCATGGGGGCAATGGCGAAGAATTCAAGATCACCAGGACGATGACCTGCTTGGCGGGCCTAGCGTTTCATCGCGGCAGCCGGACGCGCACCAGGACTGGGAAGCGGAATGCTGCAGCACACTTGGTGTTGAATCAGAGCAAATAGAGCAAGAAAGCCATGATAGAGACATGATACCTTGCAGCAGGATGCTTAGGTTGGCTCGTGTTGGGTCACGTTGCTTGACAGAGACTTTAGCCTACACTTGGTATGCAATGCAGATAGCTTAGATTGTCAGAAACTTGCTGTCTTGCTGTCGACGCAAGGCGGTGCTATTTTCTGTTTCTGACTCATTTTGATATGTCACAATGTGAAGTCAGTGCTTGCGCTAGCACAAAGATGTTGCCTGGATCACGTCGCCGCTTTCCGTTTGTGCCCGCTTTCCTTTTGCACCCAGTCCTCGTTTGTCCTTTCCACTGTCCAACACAGTTCAGGTTGGGCTTTCTTGGACTGCTTCGGCAGGACTTGCTGGGGCCTAGTGCTGCGCATGCTGCGCATGCTCCGCATGCTGCGCATGGCGTCGAGGACAGGGGCTAGTGCGCGCATGGGTGCTGACTGGCGGTTGCAAGCAGGGCCAAAACTCACTCAAGAGTGCTAGTTGTTGCCAGCAGTGTCGTCAAAGAGGTGACAGGGCGGCAGGGCATGGGGGCAATGGCGAAGAACTCAAAATCACCAGGACGACCTGCTTGGCGGGCCTAGCGTTACATCGCGGCAGCCGGACGCGCACGAGGACTGGGAAGTGACAGCGTCAGATACGCTTTGTGCGGCGGATGTTTGCCATGGTGCCTATTTTGCAATTTGTCGAGGCCCAAATTGCCAGCATGCATGCCCTGGAACATTACCAATGTCCCTGGGTTCAGCAGTTCGCAAACTAAGGCTGTTGCACTCCGTCTAGTCCAAGATGCTTAAATTCATGTTCATCCAGACTTCTTCGAACGGGAATTTCAGCGGAAGGGGTTCAATCCCCGCTGCATTTGTTCGTGTGTGCAACTAGCTCATGGCATCTTGCAGGGTTGTCAAGCCAAGTCGACGATGCGTGTGCATCCCATGGGCCGACGGGCGCTTCGAATCTGGCCGATGTAAAACTTTCCGGACTCAGAAGAACAACTGTTACATTTTCACCATGTAATGATTGGTCTCACTGATAGTCTGCCTGTTCCATTGAAAACAGCAGTGCCGTCATGTTTGTCCCTAGTCATCCAGTGCAGCATTTTGTGTGTATAAGTCATGTAACTGAGGCACCCATGCGAAGAACCATAACAGCTATGCTTCCAGAAGCAAATTGGATGGCGAATAGATGAATAGATAGCTGATGGATACACAGATAGATGGATCATTAGATAGACAAGTGGAAAGATAGAAAACTTCACAGATAGGCAGACAAACACATGGCAACATTCATAGGTAGATTCTAAATTCTTAGATAGATGGATAGATAGATAGATAGAACAGCGCGCTACGTAGGCAAGCAGATTGACAGTCAACAAAGTAGACCGATAGCACTGGCAGGAAGGTACATAGACAGATTGACCGATGGGCAGATCAACAGATAGGTGAGGCTAGGGGTGATGCGACGAGATGAACTTGCATGAGAACATGATGGCCAAATCCATAGATCGATCGATCGGTCAACATGGAGATAGTCAAACTGCAAAGGCTGACGCAAAGATAGCAAGCCGGACAGACAGGTAGGCGCGTAGATAGGCAGGTTGATAGGTAGACAAAACATAGGTGAAAACCATAGCATATTTATTTGCATATGCATATATGTGTGTTTTGTTGCTTATTTAAATTGATAGATAAATAGATAGATAAACGAGTCAATTGGCAAGCAAATGGATAGGCAAACTCATACGCAGATAGACATGCCACGGTAGCTTTGGAATATTTGCTTGCATTCGGGCTCTGGCATTTATCAGGATTGTTTCTTAATTTGAGGGTGTGTGTGTGTGTGTGTGCTGTGTGTTTTGTGCGTGTGTTTGTCGCACGCTGTGTTCCTGGTCTCACGAGCCAGTTGCAGAGCGGCCCCTGTTGCTCAGTAGGGTTCTGAAGAACTACGAGAGTAACAACACAAGCATGCTGACGCTTGAACTGAGTTGAATGGCTGTTTGTGTGCAGGGCTGGGCTTTCTTGACTGGAGGGCGAAAAGCAAAAGCACTGCCATCCTTCTGCTAACGCCACATCAAGCCCACAAAGAAATACTCTGGACTTCAGATTGCGCCTGTGGTTGACAGGCGCCCTTTGTAACTCGTGTTTCGGTTGGTCTCCAGAACTTGCCACGTTGTTGGGCTAGGCTTTGCACAACGCCTTGCAGGGAGCGGCACAGATTGTGACGAAGGCTAGTGGCCGACATAATTTCCCGGCAATGGGTCACCTACAAGGAGCCTCCTCTACATGCTGGCTGTTTGCGTGTGTTTGATTTGAAGCTCGTCCATGACAAAGTGATAACCCCGACGGCGCATGTTTTTCTTGACGCCACGTGGCACAAGTTCCCGTTGCTCAATTGGAGTTTTGGCGTAGGCACCGGTGACTGCTCGCCAGGACCTGTTGGGAGGCAGTCTTGCCAGCCGGCCCCCTGACGAGGACGACCTCCTTTGAGCTATGCAGCGCCCGTGATTTCGGCGCGCGTTCCGTCTACCGGGTTGCCGCAAGGAGTGGCTAGACTGGTAGTTGGTTCACGTAAAAGGGGAACTCAGCATGATATCCACTGGTTGGAAGGACGGACAGAACTGGAGTTTGTGAACTTTGTGAACGTGGAGGGCCCTGTTTGAGGCTGAAATAGCGGAGGTAAACAGCAGCAAGGATTTCTCAACGGTGCAAGTTGCACACGTGGTTCTGGTGCCGGATTGATTGGATTGCGCAGGGTGTGTTTCACTCACCGTCGAAATGGCAATTGCCACAGCGCCACATTTGCTGGCCTGGCCCGAGGAAGCAGGCTGAGAGGGTCCCAAATTTGCCCGATGCGTGTTCCGGATCGAAGGCTGACGGGGCTCGCTGCCCCAAACAGATTTGCAAGCATGAGCCATCCTGTTGACGCTGATCGTACCAAAGTGGGGACCCCCGCGCCCACCCATTGTCAAAGTCATGCGTGGCCTTTTGATCGTGCTGTGGCCATGGCAACCCAGGACAGGAATGCCAGATTGCAGAAAGGGGCGGATAGCAATGGATTGCAATGGATAACATCATGCACAGCCTGTACGACCAGCGCAGGGCTGATATTTTGTGGGCTCAGTGGTTGAAAGCTGATGAGCAGAAAGTGGCAGCATGCGGGTCCCATTGCCATGTAAAGCTGGCTTGCGTTCCACCATCTTTCACACGCGTGTTTAGCTGTCATGGTTTCCTCGGCGTGTTGCAAGTTGTATCTTGGATTTCTCTTTGCATGGAACTTGACGGAGGGGTGATTCAGCATGGGGGGTCGTTTGAAGAAGGCCTGTCCCAAAACACCATCGATCCTCCGAGAGAGAGTACCTGAGGTCGTCTGTCAGCGTGGCTGCCCGGGCTTCTATGACTGATCGATCAAGTTGAATGCCCTGGAGTGAGATGGGTGAGATCGCTTTTTCGAGGATGTAAGGTGACCACATCTACGATAACCGCTACCTACTCCTGGCGCAGTTCATTTTTCTGTTTGGGCAGCGCAGCGCTAGTGGTTGCAGATTCATTGCTTGCCTCTCAGGTAGTTCCGTGCCCATGTTTGAAAAGCCTGCCGCTCACTTGCAGGCTGCAGACATGCAGATTACATGTGACTCGAGTTTTCTGTCATCTTCTGCGCGGGCCGAGGCCAAGTAGTCAGGCGCCGGCTGTTGCCTGCGGGAGGGACTTGCAGGTGATGTCGCGTGCTTTAACCGTCCCGGAAACTGCTTCCCGAAGTCTTGCAAACATAGGGGCTTGCTCCCAGCAGACTGCCCTTCAGGTTGTGAACAAAATTAGGCATGGCTCGATCTAGGCCCAGCTGCCCAGTCATGTACAACTGCCAGCACCACGACGTGAAACAAACAACTTTTCGAGCTACTCTTCATTGCATAATGAACAACACGACTGGCTGGGATCGCCCAGCTTGCGGGGAACAGCCAGCCGAACCGGTTGGAAACTTGCACGGCACGGCAGAGCTTCAGTCCCCTTTCCCACTGTGGCAGGTTAGACTCCAGCAAGACTTCCGAGCTCCGAAGTGGAGGTTGGCGATGTGTTGAATCTCGGGCAACGTGGTCTTTGTTCATTTCTGTTTGCTACAGTTTCCGGGCGTTACCCCAGCTGAACGGCTCAACCCCGCAAACCGCCTGTCCTGCAAATGACACATGTCAGTATCAAGCAAAATATCCTCCGCACGGGCAGGTCTGCCGCCGTGCCGTGAGGCGAGCACTTGGGGACGCAGGTTTGAACCCGGCAGCCGAACCCCAAAGAAAGCGTGGCAATGGAATGATTGGCACTTATCCCGAGGTGGGGCTTAAACTCCTGCGATCTACACTGGCAAGTTTGAACCTAGGGATGCTCAAGCAAATGCACGTAGCATTTGCTCTACAGCTGCCAAAAGAGGCTCTCTCATTGCACTTTGGGGTTCCAAGTGCCAGCCCATGCGTTCGAAGGCAGCTTGCACCTTCCGGCCTAGGCAAACCAGCCTGAGATCTCAGACTTGGAGGTGACATCGACGCACCGTACCGCTGTCCCGAATCGAGAGGAAATTAGAGGGGGTCCCCGAAGGTGTACCGCATGGGGCCCGACAACTGCACCTGTGCCTGTGTTAGGACAGGGCGAGTTACCCAGGAATCCAACAATGAAAAGCAAATTCTTGCTTAGTGATTCTGACATGTTTAGTGGTCACACATGCAATTCCTGTTCAGCCAGTACGGACCCTTGATCTCTCTCAGGCCCTCATTCGGGAGGAGTCGGTCTCATTGCGCGCCAGCTCCTGGCTGGAATGTCCGCGCGCCGTGCAGTGGAGTCTGGCTCAGCGCAAGAGATTTCCGATCAACTGACAATACAGCAGCTTGCACTACAACTGCTTAGCGGGAAGTGAACAGGCACCACACCTTGCAAGCATGATTGATCACGGGGCTACAAAGAGTCGATCAGAGTGGCTTCCCCCAATTGCCCAAGCTGATGGGCAATGCAGGTGCGCCCCGCCCAATGGCCAAGGCGGAAATGCACCCCGCGTGCGCATCCTCCTCCTCCTCCGGGCTGTGCCTCAGCTGGAGTGGTAGATCTTTGTCGCCTGCTGCTTTCGGGGAGCTTGGCGCACGTCCATTGCCGTATCTTGCGGACCAAACGACCCAGTGCATGTTCTTTCCATATCAGACTTCCCGCTCGCAACTGGTTTTCTTGGCGAGCTCTGCTCATCGGCCATACGTCTTTGTTTGAGCGCTTAGCGCTCAGGGATTCAACATAACAGAGATTCTAATTAATATTCATAATCATGCAACCCGACATGGATAATTTTGCAAAAATGTCGGCCGCCGTGCAAATGACTGGGACCTTGAAAAGCTGACCGTTGCTTGTCCTGAACCACCCCCCCTCTCTCCTCTCCTCTTAAGTCCCCAAGTCAGGACCCTTTAGCTCAAACATTCTCATTACCAGCTGTTCCAGAGGATCTTTTGGTTTTGGGTTGCATCCTTTCTCCATCCGTGGAACTGCAAAAAGTCTTCAAGTCCACAAGACCCCTTAACTGTTGAGGATCTCCTTGTCCTGCTTTCAAGGATCCTTTGGTTTGTGCAGCCCTGCGAGGCTTTGGCAGTTCGGCCTCCTGGCCGCGGCCCTGGCGGCCTACGGCGCGACCATGCCGGCGCTGGGCGTGGCGCTCGGGGCGCAGCTGGCGGTGGCCCACCGCCCGGGCGAGGGCCACCGCTGGCGCTGGGACCCGCGGCCCTTCTGCGCGCTGATGGCCCGGGGGGCGGGGGGGGCGAGGGCCGGGCTCCGGGCATGCGGGACGATTTTTGCGCCGGGGGCGCCCATGCTTGCGGCTCCAAATGCAAGTTTCGAGGTTCTTGTGTGTAGTCCATATTCATGACAGTTACAAATGGAAAAAGGTGTCTGTAGTTGTTACATTACATTCTTTGAATTCATCAAGCTCACATTGACTCAACTGCATTTGTGACTCGGATCCATGCATGAGTCATCAAAGTGACACCTAGTTCTGTCTAAGTGTGATTGACGCGAGATTGGTGTCATGGCGAAAATGCAAATGAAGGGCTTTGTCCTGTAAGAGGAGCCGAGAGCAGGCGACATTTGGGTGTATCTGTTTTTTTGGCAAACGTTGGTTGGCTTTAATGTGGAAATGCAAGGAACAGTTCCCTAAGAGACACCTGCGGGAGTCTGGGTGGGCATCCTCCAGACGACTTGGCAAAACCCCGCTCAGCTCAACGCGAACAAGCCGGGTGATTCGCCATGCCCTTCTTTGATCTGTTGCTCGTTTCTGCTGGTTGTTTACATCCACAATCTCAAGCTTAATTACTGCGGCAGAGCACCTTGCCTCAACAAACATGCATTTGGACCACGACACACACACACACACCAAGCAAAGAATCAGTGCAAGTCAAGCCACCAGGCCAATGGATGCCTCTATATACATGTTCCGGCCTGTTTTTGGTGGATACCAGACACGGGTGTTGTCCCTACCTCCAAATTTACCTCCCCCCGTTTGGGACCACCGTAGATCTTTACCTTTCACACCAATTATGAGCAAGTGGCTTAAACCAAACAACTTGGGGTTGCGCAGGTTTCGGTCTTTCCTTCCATATGCCTAGGTGCAATTGGGGTGCCAGTTTTTGTTAGCCACTGCATCTAGGTTTAGAATTGCGCGCGGGGCAAGCGGGTCCCGTGCTTCAGGTACTCCTCACAGTCTACCTCTCCACCTACCCTTGGCATGGCTTCCCCGGCGCCTGCGCCGCCCGCGGCTGGCCGAAGCGATGGCGGAACCTAGTGACCTGCACTGCCGTGTGCGCGGCCGCCACCCTGCGCCCCGACTGGGGAATCGGAGGAGTAAAACCCCCGGACCAGCGGTGCCCTGTTTGTTTCCATTCCAAGAGCGCCCTTGTCAGAATCTCCCCTTTTCCTTTAGTATCCGAGACCCCCAGTGGGTTGCTTTCTTGGTCGACTTCTTTGGGAGAAAGAGTGCCCCTTTTCAAACCCATGGAAATCGACTGGGTTCCTACGTTTTCCAGAGGCCCCAAACCATTCCACGAACAAATCGCAGAGCAAAAGAAGATGACAAACCTGTAAAGACGAGTGTAGAACACTATGTGTAGATAGACATGCAGGTTTATGTGTATATAGACATGCAGATTTATGCCTATGTGTATTTGGCATATGCATTTGCTTTCTGAATTGGGGGTAGGAAACCTTATTGGATCTCCATGTCACTGTGGTCAAGTCTGCAGTTTTCATTGGCAAGTGATTCGAGTGAGACTAGCAAAGGCGTAGGGTGCCCCTGCCCTAAATTCCACCAACCTTTGAGCAGATGGTGACGGTGCAATATTCGGGCGACTCTGGTCTTTGGAGTTGTCCGATTTTCTAAACGCCCATCCTGCTCAGAAACCACTCGTTTGGCGGGTGTTGGCGCATTTGCCGACAAGCATCGCTGACCTGCATGGGGAGGAAGACTTAAGCAGGAGGCACTTTGGACACGTCCTACAGGCATTGGCATGATTTTCAAAGCTGGGCTGAAAACAAGTTTAAAACGACTTGAAGATGAGGGAAGGTAGACGACGTGAAGTATGTATACAAGTCATAGACGTAATCAACACCCGTGGCGTGGAATGTGTTTCATGTTCTTTTTTGAACAAGAAGCTTTGTTTTCTTTTATGTTTGTTCAGTGTCGAGGGCCCTCGCTCGCAGGACATGTGGGAGGACGCTCGCTCGCATGGTAGCATTCACAGGCATGTCAGTCCTCGTTTTCTTCACTACGCCAGCGCTATACATCGCCATATCGTTTAAGTGGCATGTTGCAGGCAAGCCTTAGCCTTGACACACACAACATCTTGCACTCCGCCAGCGCCAACAGCAACCCCAACTCGAACCTTCGAAATGTTGGACCTGAAAAGCAGTGCGATGCGCTGCCAGTGTCTCCCCAGAATCTGCAGGCTAGGGCGTCTGCTCTTTGAAAGTTCTTAGTCAGGGTCTCTTGTCCTTTCTTTTCATATCTCACAAGGGGTGCCTAGTTCCAAAGGCGTAGACCTTGGACGTAGGGAAGCTGGCCCCACATCATTCTTTACATGGGTGTCTTTTTGTTGATGCCCTTTTTCGGGGGTTAAGGAAGCCGCAGGGACACCAACCAGCTTGGGCCAGGCGCCAAGGGGTCCTTCAGCTTCCCACATCTATGGCAATGTTTGGCCGGGCCCTGCATTGGTTTGCGAACGAGCGACCCTGTGGTTTGGTTTGACGACAGGTCTACTATCATGAAGCGGCCCGGGTCGAGATACATCTACGATGCCCTGTGGTGCGTGCACGGCTACTGGCTAATTCTCGCCACCAAAGCCATGTGCGACCTGTTCACAGAGTGCAGCCTGCCAGCGCAGGCCTTGACTGGAAGCATGGCAGTTACGATGGAGGCGACGGTTCGCAATGAAATGCCGTATCGAAAGTGTCCATAAAACAAACACACAGAGTAACTGCAACCATGCCAGGCAACCGACTTGCAACCATAGAAAGGGGCGCGCATGGAATGTCGGATTGGCCTTTGCGTTACCTTTGGGGCCCGACGGATTGGTTCAAGGCATTCTTGACCCGTTCGCATTGCAGGCGGTGATGTTCGGGTGGATGGCCTACATGGCAAGGATCCGGCAGCCCTGCGTGGTTGGCATGTTTGATAGCAGAAGGTGGGTCCAAAGCATGTGCAACGCTTACCTCGGCAGCTGCGTTGCATACACCCTGGCCTTGGAAGACAAAGGCGTGGGGTGCTGACTTTCCAGGTGTTATACGTCTTGTTTTGCGCAATGCAGGCCGTCCGTCTTGTGTCAGCTACCAATTGGTAGCACAAAGGCTTGTCAGTCAGTAACAGCTTGGATGATGGATAGTTACGTCACGTCTCCCTGAGCTGAGCATGCATGTACATGCTTGTTCCGGATCGTGACATTTGGTGATGTAGTGGAATACAGCAGCATTGGACGGCAGCCGAAGCCATGAAGAAACACATTGACCTCTTGAATCTTGAACCAAGCTGGCTTCGCCACATCGCCTGAATCTCGAAGCCTTGTGAGGCCATTGGTGGCACTTCATGATGGTCTCCCTCCTCTGCCGGAGCAGTTTCCTCCTCATCTTCTGCTCGCTCAACGTCGGCAAGGCGGAACGGCCCAGCTCACCTGCCGGGCTTCGAACGACGGGGGCGTGGGCGCCCTCCAAGGCAACCAAATCAAGCTGCGTCCCTTGTTACTTTGGCTGATCACGGGGAAAAAAAAAAACAAGTACATCACCAGAGGGTTTATCTTGTCACCCCTCTCTTTAGGGAAAAAGGCTCGCACACCAACGGTTTTCTCCAAGAAGGTCCAAAGGCAAGCCATAAAGCAGATCACACTGGAGGGATGCAACCGCAATTTGGCACATCCTTCCCAGTGTCCAAGAAGCTGTGTGGCCCCACAATCCACAAACTGACTTCAAGATGGATGGGATTTAAGATCCAAGATCCAGGAAAAGTGACTAAGTGGCTTCAACCTTGGGAGGTCCACACACGAACACTTACATCATTTTCTATTTGTGTCCCCCATGGCTAGCTCAACATGGCCATGGATTTAAGTAGGGAACCTCACAAGTTGGACACAAATGGGTGTGGCTCAAAATTAAACAGCTGGGGTTACGCAGGTGTTAGTGATTGTTTCCATTTGCCAAGGTGCCATTTCGGTACATTTTCTTGAAGGGTCCCTCCCTCTTCAGGTGATGTGCCGCCTCCACAGCTTTCGGCTGCTTTGCTTGGAGGAGCGGCGTGTGAAAGGCGTGCCACAGCAGCAGGCGCACTGGGCCAAAGGCGTGGTTCGCATGGATCTCATCATCAGCGTCGTGGTGTGCTTGACGAGTTTACGTGCCTTCGGCTCTTGGGGTGTACTTTTTGGAGGGTCGCCTTTTTGGGGGGCTGGTTTAAAGGGAAACCGAAGGAAAACGAGACACATTTTGGGGGCAGGACCCCTTGAGACAAACCCATGTTCACACTGCAAACCAGCATGGCAACAACGGAAAGCGACAGCATGCAGCTCGCGTGTTGCATCTATATCCCGTGGATTTTGGAGCATGTTGGGCAAAGATTACGCATGCAAAATGCGTGCTGTCTGGTTCTGTGCCTATTGTGTATTTTGGCAGCCGTTCTATTTTGCTTTTTGTGCATGCATTGGGTAGGACATGTTGCCTTTCTTTTTGGGATGTTGTATGCATGTGTATTTTGCTTGATTTGGCAATGCATTTTTGGGCATACTTCATGCCGGCACCAGGCTGTGTGCAGTTTGGCATGCAGCATTCACTTGCGTGCTTGTGTTTGCTAGCATTTTGCATTGGTAATGCATTGTTGGGTGCTATATCGCTACCGTGTCTTCTCACATTTTGCACGCATGTAGAATGAATTTTGAAGCATTTTGGGCAACAAGTAGGCATGCAAATGCGTGCTGTCTTGTGCTGTGCCTTTTGTGTGCATTTTGGCGTGCCGCTCTGTTTGGATTTTTTGTGCGTGCATTGGGTAGAACATGTTGCCTTTCTTCTTGCGATGTTGTATGCATGTTTATTTTACATTCATTGGTTGTGCATTCTGTGGCATACTTCATGCACGCACAACGCTGTTTGCAGGTTGGCATGCAGCATACACTTGAGTGCTTGTGCTTGCTAGCATTTTACATCTATGTTGTTTTCCATGCGTTGGTTATTCATGTTTGGGCATACCTCATGCATGCACGAGGCATGCAGAATCGCCACTGTGTTTGCTTGCATTTTGCATGTATATTGCTTAAGTGTTGGAGCATTTTGGGCAAAGATTCATGCAAAATGTGTGCTGTCTTGTTCCGTGCCTTCTGTGTGCAGTTTGGCATGCCTTTCTGTTTGAGATTTTGTCTGCATATGTGTCTTGCATGCATTGGTTATGCATATTTGGGCATACTTCATGCAGAACCAATGCATGCAAGCAACATATATGCAAAATGCTAGCAAACACAATCACGCAAGTGTATGCACCCCCCCCCCAGCAGGCATAGCACAGCATCAGCAGCACGCAGGTGGCTTGCATTTTGCATGCCCTTAGCAATAATTTTGCAGCATTTTGGGCAAACGCCTACTTCCTGCATGCACAAGGCATGCAAACTGCGTTGTTGTTCTTGCTTGCTTTTTGCATGCATGTAGCATGAATGTTGCAGCATGTCGAGCAAACACTATGCATGCAAAAAGCATGCAACATGCGTGCTGTATTGTTCTGGGCCTTTTGTGTGTAATGCATACTGTGTGCTGTTTTTGTTCTGTGCCTTTTGTGTGCATTCTGACATGCAGCTCTATTTGGATTTCCCTTCCTGCTTTGGTTATGTGAGTTGTTACCTTTTTTGGGGATGTTTACATTCTGGGGGAACAAGAGTGACTGAATCATTGCCTCAAAACCAAAAATGCATAACCAATGCATGCAAAGCAACATGACTGCAACATGCTAGCACACACAAGAACGCTGTCCCCCAGCAAGCACAACACAGCATCACCATGTTGTATGTATTTGCATGCATTGGTTATGCATTGTTGGGCATACTTCATGCATGCATTACGCTGTGTGCAGTTTGGCATGCTGCATACACTTGCGTGCTTGTGCTTGCTAGCATTTTACATCTATGTTGTTTTGCATACGTTGCTTATTCATGTTTGGGCATACTGCATGCATGCAGAAGGAACGCAATATCTCTACTGTGTTTGCTCGCATTTTGCGCGGATATTGCATGAAATTTCGGAGCATTTAGGACATTGATTGAGCATGCAAAATGCATGCTGTCTCGTTCTGTGCCTTTTGTGTGCATTTTGGCATGCCGCTCTGTTTTGGATTTTTTTGTGCGTGCATTGGGTAGGACATGTTGCCTTTCTTCTCGGGATGTTGTACGCATGGTTGTGCATTCTGGGGCATACTTCATGCACGCACAAGGCTGCGTGCAGTTTGGAATCCAGCATGCACTTGCGTGCTTGTGTTTGCTACCATTTTGCATTTTTGTTGTTTTGCATGCATTGGTTATTCATGTTTGGGCATACTTCCTTCATGCAATAGGCATGTAAAATCACTACTGTGGTTGCACGCATTTTGCACATGTATTGCATGAAATTTGGAGCATGTTTTGGGCAACGATTACGCATGCAAAATGAGTGCTGTCTTGTTCTGTGCCTTTTGTTTGCATTTAGGCATGCCGTTCTGTTTGTGCGTTGATCGGCTAGGACATGTTGCCCTTCTTTTTGGGATGTTGTATGCAGGTGTATTTTGGATGCATTGGTTATACATTTTTGGGCGCGCTATATGTATGCCCAAGACTGTGTTCATTTTGGCATGCAGTTCTGTCTTGTGGTTTTTGCAAAAGGCATGGAAAACTCATGCTGTATTGTTCTGTGCCTTTGTGTGCATTTTGGCATGCCGTTCTGTTTGGATTTTCTTGCATGCATTGGGCAGGACATGTTGCCCTTCTTGTTGGGATGTTGTCTGCATATGTATCTTGCAAGCATTGGCTATGCATTTTTGGGCATACTTCATACATGCACAAGGCTTGCAAACTGCGTTGTTGTGCTTGCTTCCATTTTGCAGGCAGTTTGCAAGAGTTTTGCAGCATTTCAGGCAAACACTTGCTTCATGCACGCACAAGGCATGCAAGCTGCGTTGTTGTGCTTGCTTGCTTTTTGCATGCATGTAGCATGAATGTTGCAGCATCTCGGGCAAACACTACGCATGCAAAAAGCACGCAACATGCGTGCTGTATTGTTCTGGGCCTTTTGTGTGTGTCTTTTGTGTGCAATGCACACTGTGTGGTGTTTTGTTCTGTGCCTTCTGTGTGCATTTGGACATGCAGTTGTGTTTGGAATTTCTTTCCTGCATTGGTTTTGTTGCCTCAAGAGCAAAAATGCATAACCAATACATGCAAAACGACACAAATGCACATGCTAGCAAACACAAGAACGCAAGTGTATGCTGCATGCCAAACTGCACACAGCCTTCATGCATAAAGCATGCTCGAACCTGTATAACCCATGCATGCAAATACATACAACATCCCACAAAGGAAGGCAATGCTTCATGCCTGCAGAAGGCATGCAATATCTCTACCGTGTTTACTCGCATTTTGCACATGTATTGCATGAAATTTGGAGCATGTTTTGGGCAACGATTACGCATGCAAAATGAGTGCTGTCTTGTTCTGTGCCTTTTGTTTGCATGGCATGCCGTTCTGTTTGTGCGTTGATCGGCTAGGACATGTTGCCCCTCTTTTTGGGATGTTGTATGCATGTGTATTTGGATGCATTGGTTATACATTTTTGGGCGCGCTATATGCATGCCCAACACGATGTTCATTTTGGCATGCAGTTCTGTCTTGTGGCTTTTGCAAAAGGCATGGAAAACTCATGCTGTATTGTTCTGTGCCTTTGTGTGCATTTTGGCATGCCGTTCTGTTTGGATTTTCTTGCATGCATTGGGCAGGAGGTGCCCTTCTTGTTGGGATGTTGTTTGCATATGTATCTTGCTCGCATTGGTTATGCATTTTTCGGCATACTTCATACATGCACAAGGCTTGCAAACTGCGTTATTGTGCTTGCTTCCATTTTGCAGGCAGTTTGCAAGAGTTTTGCAGCATTTCAGGCAAACGCTTGCTTCACGCACGCACAAGGCATGCAAGCTGCGTTGTTGTGCTTGCTTGCTTTTTGCATGCATGTAGCATGAATGTTGCAGCATGTCGAGCAAACACTATGCATGCAAAAAGCATGCAACATGCGTGCTGTATTGTTCTGGGCCTTTTGTGCGTGTGTCTTTTGTGTGCTGTTTTGTTCTGTGCCTTTCGTATGCATTTTGACACGCAGCGTTGGTTCTGTTTTGTTGCCTTCTCTTTGGATGTTGTATTCTGCGGAACAAAAGTGACTGAATCATTGCCTCAAAAGCAAAATGCAGAACCAATGCATGTAAAGCAACACAATTGCAAAATACGAGCAAACACAAGAACGCTTCTGTATACCTTAAGCACAACGCATCATCACCAGCATCACCGGCATCATCTGCAAGGCCCCAACACTGCTCGAAAAATGCAACAAGCTCTGCAAATCAGTGCGGGTCGGACTGCCCCCCCCCCCACCCCTGAATTCCAAAGTTGCTTTCCGTCATCGGCATTGAACCCAAAGGAAAGCAACTTGTTTGTTCCTTTGAGGAGCCCCTTTTTGGGTTCCATGGCAATTTGAAGCTGTCGGCTGATTGCTTTCTCCAAGGGCCTTTCGGCGGTTTCCATATGAAAGGAATGCTTGCGGCCTGCTGGCCCTCCAAATGTTGCAGGAAGAAACAAGGTACATTGAAAACATTGAGAAGTATGACCCAGGGGGTCGCGAAACGGGAAAACCACGTAGGGGTGTTTGTTTAGGGAGACCCGTTGTTTTGTGGGTTGTTTTTTGGGGGGGTCCCCTCAAAAAGAGACCCCCACATGGGTCCGTTTACAAGGGCAAGATGCCGCTTCATATTTGCTCTATTGAAGCTTGGGGAAGCTTGGCATGCTGCTTCGCGCGAGAAGAACATGCATTGCTTCATCCGTTGTGCACGAGAGTGCAACTCACACTGAGGCCCCTAATGCAAACTACGTCTGATGCTGTGACTGCCCCAACGCGGTGCCCAGGCACTTTTTTCCAGTCGTACGTCAACCAAGTCATGATGCTGCTGGAGGATGCAAGATGGTAACATTGCATCTTGTCAATTCTTGCCGCTGGCAAATCAGACAGACAAAGCCAGCGCTTGCATCAAATCAGCCACTCAAGTTGATTTGACTATTGTGTCCTTAAGAATTTCCCTTTTGGGCCAAACTCTGGCAGCCAAAACACGGAGAAGAGGAGGGCCAGAGGAAAGTTTGATATGAGGTCTTCAGAACACCTGTCGAATCTAAAAATTTGTGTGGGGGGTGAACGATTTCCTGCGGCAAGACATTTGGAGCATGGCAGACGGTTTTTTGTAGAGCTGGGTCTTCCAGGTCTAGTTGGGGGGGGTATCTGAGAGGCGCAAACTCCTTTTGTACGACCAGTGCCCTTTGGCTTTGTTCATGGAATTGCCTGGCCCGTGGGATTGTCTAGCGGGCAATGGTACTGTGTAACACCCTTATTCTTGTGTATTCTGTCGGTCCGAGCGAAAAGATTGTGAAATCTTATTTGTACGGCCAAGTGTCCAGAATGGTCAAGTTCGGAAAACCACCAAAGCATCGGCGGCTATTTCCGAAATGTGCAGATCCCCTACACGAGTTGTACAGGGAACACCGGCAACCCCCCCAAATGCAGCGGTTGCCGTTTCCAGGAGCGCACAGTGGATATGTGGCTGCGGGGCCCCGCAGAGCTCACGCCGGGGGCGTTGCACATCATCTCCATGGCTACAGTGAGTGGCCTGCTGCCACTGGGCTGAAGGATCCTTTGAGTTCTCAAAATGAACTCCTCTTTAGCATTCCAAGGGAAATCTAAAGGAATCCAGTCAATTCGTCCTTTGAGTTCTCAAAATGAACTCCTCTTTAGCATTCCAAGGGAAACCTAAAGGAATCCAGTCAATTCGTGCAGGGGACGCCTATTTCAAATTTGTGAGACGACCTACAGCCATGGACAGTGGGTTGCAATGGTTATGCAATGAGCGAAGTCCCAGACCGTGTAAGCAAGACATCAATGTATGGAAGGGGGTACTTGCAACACAGGACCTGTCTCCATACATTGTCCCTTGCACGAGGGAAATCATTTATTGCGGGAGGAATGTAAAAGCTCCGCAAGGTCCTTCCCGTAAGTTTTCTTTGTATTGGCTTCTTTCTTGGGATAGCGCGTTAAGATGCGGCAACCCTCCATTTCGAGCAAGCTCGTAAGTTCCCTCAGTTGCTTTACCAGGGTGTGATTCCCTCTCAATTTAAGAGGCAAGGGGACTTCAAGCCTGGGAGCCCCTGTCTTTATGGTGGGTTTAGCTTGGGCTTCAAAGAAGTGCAAGTGAGTACACTGACACGGATGGCACTGGGAGAGTCATCCTCATCCAAGCCATGGTTGGAGGCGAGCTCGGTTGTCCCATGTGGCACTCATCAAGCTGCCTGGGGTTGCGGTTTGGTCAGGTGGCCCCTGCTGCCATTGGATGTGCCAGAGGTGGAAGAGCTGGAGGTGGAGGTTGCGAAGGAGATCCAAAGATCGGGAAAACTTGTACCTGATTTGCAGGCCCCATCAATGTTGATGAGCATTGGGTAAGGAATTTGAATGACTGGCCAAGAGCAAACCATCTCTGGCTGAACTCCTGTAAACGCGTCAAACCCCTGCCAAGTGGTGCTTCACACACAGCGAGGTGCTCCGACAATATGACGGCAACGGATGCTTCTTTTCCAGCTGTCCCTTCTGTGAAGTTTGCATGGCATTGGTTCATGGGGTGGCCGCTCACCAATACAGCAACATGTACTGACATTCTTGGGGGCAGGAGTATTCTCCGCCATACCGGCTTGAAGAAAAGGATGTCTATGAGGCGAAGGACGGGCAAAGCGCAGCCTACACAGGTTGCCAAGCACTACATTCATGCCGCTCCTTAGTAGGGCGTCTCCATACACCAGAATCACAGCAACATGGACGAGATCTAGCTTTCCTCAGGGACAGTTTTGTTCGGCAATACTCCCCTACAGATTAACATGGAACCCCCCCAAAACAACCAGTTGTCGAGGAAACTCCGTTTCAGGCACCCATTTGTTGGTTTCCATGTCAATTTATAGGGGAGTCATATTGTACTCATTTAGTGATCTTTCTGTACGTACCAAGTGGGCAAAGAGGCAAGCCTCGAGTGTCTAAGCTTGAGAGCCACGCGTATGTGTTTGGTTTGACGTTTGACTAATTAGAGATGGCGTTTGACCATCCGCTAAGATTCATCTTGTCAGACCATGCCAGCAAGCCTGTTCGAGCACATCCATCATGCTTTGTTCGGGTTTCAGGCATTTCAGCCTGCCCATCTCCATGACTGCTAGCTTGGTGAACTTGAAATTGGTTTGCTATGTCATATGTTGCGCTGTCTTGTTTATGTTTCGTTTGCTTCAGGAATGACCCAAATCCTTGGTTGTGCCTTTCAGGTACCCCTTTTGTGATTGGTTTTCGAGGGAAGCCAACAGGCCGCCTCATTTAGGGTGGGGTTTGACACATACCTTGGGGTTGTCTGAAGGAAAATTCCTATGTCACCAAGAAGCCACCAAAAAAGGGGGCGGGGGGTCCCTACCCGGCGCAGGTGCGTGAGTTGGCAGGCCGCGGCTTCAGCTTGCGGTCGCTCATGGCTTTTTGGAGTCAGCTCCTCGCGGCTCGGATGGATGACGGGAGAGCCAGAGATTCAAAGAATGTCCGTCAACCGACCTTCCTATACAGCAAATAGTAGCTGTTTTGTTCCCAAGTGTTTGGAAAAACATGTCAGTGGTACATATAAAGTCATGATTTTGATTGGCCAGTCCAACCAGAAAGTGAGTTGTCACTGTGACATTTAAGATGCTGGGGAGCCGGTACTTCTCGAGCTAGGTCAGGCAGCCATTGCTGTGGATGCGCGGTGCCCGGGGTACAGCTGAGGACGGGAACGTCATGCCCAGCTTTGACCCGCGTCTTTCCACCACGAACGACGTGGTGCCTCAACTCCAGCAGTGCATCCAGGTACCCTTGCCACAGCACCGCGGAAAGCGATTCGTACGCAGCGGTCCTTCAAACATGGCTTCGATACGTTCTCAGAGATATGCTTGTCATTTTTGGACCCAGCAGCAGATGAAAAGTGCATGGGGTGGTTGAGGTTGCTGGGAGTTCGCAAAAGCTTTCCTCACCAACTGCACCGCATATTCAAAGATGGATCCACGCAGCTGAGTTCCATAGGTTTTCAAACAAGGCTGTTGAGGCGTTGGTGTGAGTCTCAAATGCGCCCTCGCCTTCACCTAGCTTTCGCCCAGGTGAGGGAGGTGGTGATCCCTATGTCCCGCCGCGGCCGGGGCGGCGTGGCGCTGGCGGAGCTTTGGAATGAGGGCCCCGTGTGGCCTCAGAAGATGGTCACCCACACCTGGACCAACGTAGCTCTGAAAACGAGGGAAGGGTCAGGGAAGTTGTCGCATCCCCGAAGTGAACAGCTCAAGCAGTGGTCGTGGTGCCTGTCTAAACCATATAGGCCAGAGGCTCTCATTTGTTGATTCTGTATTCCTGCCAGTCATTTGGGTGGCATCAATGCACAATGGAGGGCCATTTGTTTATATATATATATGTGGTTTTGTGCTTTTCAGGGTGGGTTTTCTGTGGCTGTTACCTGGGTTTATGTGGCTGTTGTGGCTTTTCATTTCGCATCCTCTGCATTCACAGTTCCTCTCTGCTTGGCTTTTGCGGCGTTTTATTGGGTTCATGCGGCTTTTGCGGCTTTGGCTTTTCGCATCCTTTGCATTACCAGTTCCACTCCGGCAGGTGGCTTTTTGCCTTTGTGGTCTTTGGCGGCTTTCTGGCCTTGGCTTCCTGCGTCCTCAGCATCGCCAGTTCCTCTCTGGTGCCCCGCCACCCCCTTTCGATTAAAATGCACCCCTAATTGAATTACTTGTTCAATCCTCATGCGACAGCT